ACTTTGAAAAGTATAAAGAAAAATTATTACTAATTATACATGATGATAATATGAATTAAAAAATATTTATAGATGCCTACCATTTTCATCATAACATTTACTAATCTGAATGCTTCAGGTTACTATTACAAATGAACAAAAATATGTGAACTCACTTGTAAATGAAAAACATATGCAAATATATTTCTTATGGAGTACTGAATTTCAGTTTACAACAATAAAAAATCGCATAGATTAAGGGCAGGGTTGCATAGCTGATTAATTCTAACAGTAGGGGAAAGAAAACAGGTAAATAAGATGTTCAAAAAACAAAATTAATGGCATCTGCATTAGAGAAAAAGAAAAATAAGAGTGACCTTGTAGTAGAGTACACGAAACACTCCAGGCAGAGAGAAGATACGGATTCCTAACACCGACTGTCAAATTGACTGAGAATCAAGATATGATAAAGGGACTATAAACTTGGTATCCATTGGTTATCGTCATATGGCTAACATGTTAAAAAGTCAACTTGATTAACATAATACTGAATCATTTCACTAAATACATAGAATAGTTAATACAAAACAAAATCTTAATTCTACTTGTAGTTAATACAAGTAGAAAATCAATGGTTGATGATATCAGAAAATTATAACTTATACCCATTATACATATTCAGTGGATCCAAAAAGACATGAGAGCACTGGATAATAAAGAAATATAAGAGAAGAAATGGTTGCCAGGCACTAGCCAAATTTCAAGTAAACTGACACTGTCCTTTGGCAATGCTATTACAATTAAATTCAAACTTACTTACCTACCGTGTCTACTCCTTTCCTCCCCGCACGACCAACCATCTGCTTGTAAGTAAGAATATCTAGAGATCGACCACTGAAAATAGGAGTCCTAATAATTACACGACGTGCAGGTAAATTCACCCCAGATGAAAGAGTAGACGTTGCTGCCAAGACTCGAATGAGGCCTTGACGGAAGGCTCCTTCAATGATATCCCTCTCTTCAAAAGTAAGACCTACAAAAAAAAAAAAAAAGGAGGTTCCCGTAACATATATTTCTTTGCAAAAATATTTTACTCGATCACTAACAAATAGATCTGAGAGCTTGCCACAAGTAACTAAAGATTTTTTTTTAAAACTATTATGACCATAAAGAAAGACGTCATCACAGTCTTATCTGTTTAAGAGTATAATCTGCCACCCTAGTACACTTCTATCTCATCTTTCAGACCAGAGGCCAGCAAGCTTTTTCTGTAAAAGGCCAGTTAAATCCTATAGGCTTTGTGGGCCAGATGGTCTCTGTTCCAACTTCTCAACTCTGCCTTTGTGACCTGAAAGTGTTCAGAGAACAAATGGGTATGACTGCATTCCAATAAAACTTTACTTACAAAAGTATGTAGGGGACTGGATTTGCCCAGCAGGCTGTAGTTTGTTGACCCCTGTTCTAGATAATGAACTCCTTGAGGGTAGAGACATGCCTTATTCATAACTGTATCTTTAGGGTCTATCCAACACAGTGGTCAGGCACATTTTTCTCTTTTCAGTGCTGTTAGAGTCTGTTTTATGTATTTTGGAGCCCTGTCGTTGGGTGCATAAATACTTTAGTTATGTCCTTCTGGTGTATTGACTCTTTAATCATTATATAGTGTCCTTCCTTATCCTCTGTGGTGGATTTTACTTTAAAGACTATTTTGTCAGAGATTAGTAATGCCACTCCTGCTGTTTTTTCAGTGTTGTTTGCTTGATATACTTTTTTCCATCCTTTGAGTTTCAGTTTGTTTGTGTCTTTAAGTCTAAAGTGCGTCTCTTGTAGGCATCATATAGATGGATCGTGTTTCTTTATCCAATCTGCCACTCTCTGTCTCTTTATTGGTGCATTTAGTCCATTTAAATTCAGTGTAATTATTGATAGGTATGAGTTTAGTGCTGTCATTTTGATGTCTTTTTTTGTGTGTTGTTCAGTTTCTTTGTTCCACTTAATTTTCTGTGCCGACTCATTTTTACGTATTTTCTTTTCCTTTTTCATTGCTATTGATTTTGTGTTTGCTGAGTTTATATTTTTCCAGTTTTTTATTTTGACTTGTAGGATTGTTAGTTTCCTTTGTGGTTACCTTAATATTTACCCCTATGTTTCTAAGTTGATACCAGTCTTTTATTTCTTTATATTGCCTTGACTTTCTCTCCATATGACAAATCTGTGTCTACATTTTTTAAGTCCCTCTTTTTTGTTTTAATCTTGTCATCTTTTACATATTGATTGTTATATATTTTACATATTGGGTTGTTATCTGATGTTACTGATTTCCTAATCGGAAGACTCCCTTTAGTATTTCTTGTAATTTTGGTTTGGTTTTCGCAAATTCTCTAAACTTCTGTTTATCTGAAAATGTCCTAATTTCACCATCATATTTGAGAGACAGTTTTGCTGGATATATAATTCTTGGCTGGCAGTTTTTTTTTCCTTCAAGGCTTTATATATGTCATCCCATTGCCTTCTTGCCTGCAGTTTCTGCTGAGTAGTCTGAGCTTATTCTTATTGCCTCTCCTTTGTAGATGACTTTTCGTTTATCCCTAGCCGCTCTTAAAATTCTCTTTATCTTCAGTTTTGGCAAGTTTGATTATAATATGTCTTGATGACTTTCTTTTGGGATCTACCCTATGTGGGGTTCGATGAGCATCTTGGATTGATATCTCGTCATCTTTCACGATATCAGGGAAGTTTTCTGCCAACAAATCTTAAACAATTCTCTCTGCATTTTCTGTTATCCTCCCCATTCTGGTAGTCCAATCACTCATAGGTTATTCCTCTTGATAGAGTTCCACATAATTCTTAGGGTTTCTTTTTTTTTTAAATCCTTTCATCTGATTTTTCCTCATATAAGTTGGTGTCAAGTGCTTTATCTTCAATCTCACTAATTCTGACTTCCATTGTCTCAGTTCTGCTCTATGACTTTCTATTGAGTTGTCTAATTCTGAAATTTTATTGTTGATCTTCTGGATTTCTGATTGCTATCACTCTATGGATTCTTGCAGCCTGTTAAATTTGTCATTATGCTCTTCTCTAATCTTTTTAATTTCCTCTATTGTGTGTTCTGTGTTTTGCTTAATTTCCTTCCTAATTTCTTGAAGACTTCTGTGTATTAGTCTTTTGTATTCTGCCTCCAGTAATTCCAAGAAATTTTCTCCTTCTGGAAAATTTCTAGACTCTTTATTTTGGGAGCTTGCTGAAGCCTTCATGGATTGCCTCTTTATGTGATTTGATATTGACTATCGTCTCTCAGCCATCAATAAGGTATTATATTTATTTATTTTATGTTTGCTTACTGTGTCCTAGCTTCTTGTTCTGTTTTGATATGCCCAGATAGGCTGCTTGTATGAGCTAGTTTGATTATTGGCACCTTTGAAGCTCTAATGTCCTGTCACCAGGTGGTTAGATCTGTTACTAGGTATGTGAGCTCAGGAGTCCACCCACTCCTCCTATATGGATTCAGCTCAGGTGCCCAGGTAGATAGCCACCAAGTGTGTGCTGTAGGCTCTCACTTACAGTCCTAGACAGGCATGGGTGATTGGTGTAGGCACAGGCTTCTGGCTGCAGCAGTGGGACACACTCTGAGCAATGCAGGGGGCTGATGGCTGCCCCAGTGAGTCCAGGAGGAAGGCATGTCCCTGTTCCCTAGAGCGTGTAGGGGGGTGGGTTTTGCACCCAGACTATGAGCACTTAATGCTGTTGGCCGCAAGGACTGGGGAGCACCTCTTATTCATGGGCCCCTATCGCAGGTGGCTAGGTGGCATGGGTGGAGTCACCAGTCCTCAGGCCCCTGATGTGGGTAGATGAAGACCCTGCTTTATGGGCAGAGCAGTGTCAAATGTCAAGAACCTGCCATTTCACAGCTGAAACAGTTGAAGTTACAGTTCCAGTATATACCCTGTTGTACTGCAGTAATGAGGGCCTATGCTGTTGAGATAGGCCCACACAAGTCTATGCAGGGGGAAAGGCACTCAAAGTCTGTGGATCCCTTATGCCTGTGCCTAGGCAAAGGAGCTGTGCCCACCCCGGGTTCCTGGCTTAGGGGAGCCGGCAGTTTATTTTTTCCCCAGATTGATAATTTGTTCACTCTCCAAGGCAGGGAGAGTGGTTCCAGACATGTGACGGATCCTACTTCTGGCCCAGGGGACTCAGTCATTGCTGAAGCCAGTCTGGGACCCAACGCAGAGCAGGAAGCGAGGAGGTAAATGGGAGAGAGGTTTTTCCCTAAGGGGGGTGTTTTTGATCCACGCGGTAGGCTGTAAGCAAGTACTTATCTTTTGCCGATGAGGGCTGCTTCTCACTGGTTCTGGGTGGCCACGTAGACTCTCTGGCACTGGGTCTCTCCCAGTGTGGAAAACGTGCCTCCCAAGCACCGCCGCTTGCCTGCCTCACTGCTCACCCCCGAGCTGATCAGGCCTGAAGGGCTCAGGCTCCCGCCAGGACAGGACTGATAACTTCTCGCTGCTTCCGAACCGTCTCTCCTTCCCCCTCCCACTCAGTCCGGTTCTTCAACTCTGCCTTTGATATTCAGGCCTCCCAGATTGCCATATATAATTGATTCACTTGTTTTTTCGGGTCTTTGTGGTAAGAGGGTCCACCAGAAGTGTCTGACTACTCTGCCATCTTGGCCCCACCCCCACATTTTTTACATAAATGTGTGATGAATAAACACGTGAGTAAATGAAAAATAGCATGTAGAATATGTACTCACCTGGCTCGTTTTTAATTTCATTAAAAAATCAAAAGGACTCACCTCCAGTTTGTAAATTAAGTGGTAGATCCACTGGTATTCATTTTATTAGTATGCATCATTAATTAGGCATACAATATAAATATTCTTTTGTATATGTCTTAGTTATCTAGTGCTGCTATAAAGGAAATACCACAAGTGGATGTGTTTTACAAACAGAAATTTATCTTCTCACAGTTTAGAGGTTAGCTGTCCAAATTCAGGGTGCCAGCACTAGGGTAAGGCTTTCTCTCTCTGTCATCTCTGGAGGAAGGTCCTTGTCTCTTCTCAGTTTCTGCTCCTTGGTGATCTTCATGTGGCTTGGCATCTCTCTTCCCCCATCTCTGCTCTGCTTGCTTATTTAATCCCTTTTATATCTCAAAACAGATTGACTCAAGATATCCCCTATACTAATCCTGCCTCATTAACATAACAAAGACAACCCATTCCCAAATGGAATTATAAACACAGGCTTAGAGGTTAGAATTTACAGTACATATTTTGGGGGGAAAATAATTCAACCCATAACAGTATGTATAACCCATACCATTGCCATTGAGTCAATTCTGACTCATAGCCTCCCTATAGGACAGAGTAGAACTGCCCCATAGGGTTTCCAAGGAGCATATGGTGGATTCGAACTGCCAACCTTTTGGTTAGCAGCCGTAGCTCTAAACCACTGCGCCACCAAGTTTTCCAACAGTATGTATACACATTAAAAAATTTTAAATAAATTGACAGGGTTAAATTCCACATCTTAGAAACTATATATCTTTAATCATATCCTTAGCAGATATGGTCATGGACTGACCACTACGTGCAGGAAGTTCTTTAATTCAGTGACTGTCAAATTCCTTGAAATTTTGATAATCTATCTGTGATGGTTAAGGTTATGTGCCAACTTGGCTAGACCATGATTCTCAGTGGTTTGACAGATATTATGTAATCATCCTCCATTTTTTGATCTGATGTGAGCAGCCAATCAGTTGAGAGCCAATCAGTTTCCTTGGGGTGTGGCCTGCATCCAATATATATGGATGTTCTGGCAAAGCTCTCTCTGGATCCTGCATCTGACTCGTCAACCTCTGACCTCCAATTCTTGGGACATGAGCCAGCAGCCTTCCACCTGACCTGCCAGTTTTGAGTTCGTTAGCCCCTGCAACCACATGGTCAGGAGAAGCCTCTACCCTGAAGTCTGACCTATGGATTTGGGATTTGCCAGCCTCTACAAATGCATTAGCCATTTCCATGAGATAAATCTCTCTTTTTATATATATATTTATGTATACATTTATGCTTCATTGGTTTTGCTCCTCTAGAGAATCCAGTCTAAGACATTATCCATTATACGTTTAAAAATTTATAGCCCTCTCAAAATACAATTTCTAAAATTTCATTTTTTATATGCTTATGAGACTATTTCAATACCTCTTAGAATAAAAGGAGATGCTTAGTGTTGCATAAAATTCAGGGTAGCAAGTACCACCCTAATTTTAGGGAAAAAAGTATAGAACAGTAGCAATATCAGAATTCAATTCCCTAATTGTCAAAAAAAGCTTATGTCTAGTACTTATTTACTATACAGATAAGTATAGTTAAACATGTTTGTTTTACTCTTGTTTAGTCTTAATTATCTAGTTTCTTAAAATGAAATCTAAGGGTATTCATTAACAAGAAATCAAATGCACACAAATATAAAAATGAGGAAATTACGAGGTTTTCTTGGAGAGGGCTTTTTAATAACACAGTGTAAATATGGAATACCTGCATGATGAAATGCTACTCCCCATGGTACAGTTTTTTGTAATACAGAGTCCAGTCCCGAAGGCAAACGATGTAACTGATCCATCACTTCCAGGAGGCCCTTTTGGTTCAGATTCACTGGTGGATGTTCAGATGGTTTTACCATTCCTGTCACAAAAAAATCATCAACACTTTTCACCCCTGGTTGCATCCCTTTAAGTGCTATTTGCCTAAGTTATGATACAGCTAAGTACTAGGGCAATGGTTCAGAAACTACTGCATATTATAGTCACCTGGTTACCATAAATAGGAATTGACTCAATGGCAACAGGTTTGGTGTTTTTGGTTTTGAAGATCTTTAAAAAATACTGATGCCTGACTCTTACTCCAGACATTCTCATGTAATTGGTAGGGAGAATGACCCAGCATCAGGAATTTTAAAGCTCCCCAGGTGAATCTAATGTGCAGCAAAGCTTGGGAAACCCTAGACCAAACCCACAGGAGGGACTGAAGGAACCAGCTGTAGAAAGGAGAGGGCCACAAGTACCGATTACCACTCAAAGCCTAACAATCAAATAGACCCTCGCTCAGACTATGTCCCACCAACCAGCAGCATCAGCATCACCTAGGAACCTGTTAGAAATGCACAATCTCAAGCCCCACCCCAGACCTACTAGATCAGAAATTTTTTTTCTGATTCATAGACACCTTAAAGTTTGAGGAGAACTGACACAGACTACGAACTCCTTGTGGGCAAGCATAGTATTATATTTCTTGATGTATACCACAGTATTTAACCCAATGCCTTCTAATACATAACCAATATATTTATTCAGTTATAATTATATATACAGTAAAATCTGTGAAAGCGAGAACCTGTGTAAGACAGAAACCTGTCAGAGAAGGAAAACTCAAATATTTTCCACTAAAACAAGCAATAGAAAAGTGGTAAGACTGCACCCTGTCAAAGGCAGAAAACTTGCAAGACCCAGACTCAGAAAATAAAGGTAGTTCCATCGAGTTCCAGTTCTCACAGGTTTCACTTTGAGTGTGTGTGTATGTTTTATTTGATTTGGTTGATGTAAGGGGTAGGGGTGGGGGGAATCCCTCAGTCTTTCATTAATCATCATAAAGAAAACCTTCCCAATACACGTTAGAAATGTCTGAGTGTGGTCTCTCTTTGTCAGCAAGTAGCTAAGCTGCATGTGTTAATAAGAGATTCTTGGGAAAGGTGGCAGGAGAAACTGTGGGTGACCCCAGGAAACTGTGTGTGCTGACTGCCTGTTCAAACAAAGTATGAAGTAGAAAAATAGACATGCTGTCCACACAGGTCTTCAAGTCAAAGGACAGCTAAAGAAACAGAGCTGTGATGTCTCAGTACTAGAGGCTGGGTCCAACTAGTTGTTTGAAGTCAAGGGAGCTAGGTAAGGGGTCCAGCTCAGCCTAAGCCAGGAGTAGGAACTGACAAACTTAAAACAAATAAACAAAAACAACCTGCTCTTTTGGGTGGCCAGGAAGTTCAGCCTGGATTCAAGGTAAAACTAGAAGGCTAGAAAAGTGGGCCCCAGTCCATACTTAGTTACAATATATCTAGAACCAAAGAATTTCTAAGCATGACTTCACAGTTTAAAGCACTTACACCTCACGTATAGGATAAATGTTCACACTTCTTAGCTGAGCAGCAAAGCCTTCCAAAAGCTGACTCCTCATTTTCCACTTTTTTCCCAAAATCTTTAACCAGGATGACTTCCTCAGTATTTTCAAACCTATCTTATTCATTCCCTTCTCCTGACCTTTGCCCTTGAGTACCATTGACCCGAATGCCCTCGTCTTACCAATCCAGAACCCTTTCACAAAACCTAGTTCTCTGTGGCAATTATCTTAGCCCAGGGTTAGCCTGTCCTCCTGGCACCAGTCTGGTTAACATTGCCTTCTGCTTTTTGCCTCTCTGTGCAACCTTCCTCCAAAGTAAGATCTTAACGTTCTTGGAGACAGGAATCATGTTTTTTTTTAAAGAGTTTCCCAGACTTTTGGATTTCTGAACTACTAAAACTTTTCTTAAAATATATTTTTTAGTTTTGTAGGTAAACGTTCCTTAAATTTTTGAAGACCCACATAAGGTTGTCAATGTTTAACTTTTCTAAATAAGGACAATTAAAAAAAAAAACATATCCCAATATCTTCATTTCAAAAGAAGTATCATTTTAACATCAAAAAATTAGGAGGGACAATTTCAGAATTTAAACTTCAGTTTTATGAAAAAATTGCTGACTTGTCTTTATTTTTCCGGTGAAAACTTCATCCTAGACCAGCTCTATCCAATGACTAGCATTTGGCAACTACTACTATAAATCAAGATAACAGGATTGCAAAAAAAGACAAATAATAATGATTCCGGTTATTAAGGAATATAAGTTATCATAGTACATCATATAGATGTTGTCATGGTACAGAAACCATTAATTGAGAGGGAATAGGAAAAGAGATTATAATGTTGGAACAGGGCCTAGCCTGTATAAACTTCAGGCAAAGTTTACTTGTTAGAGCTAGGCTTGTGTATCCATCACCCGCCCTCATGATGCCACTGGGTGTAACAAAGTAATAAAAATATCCTAATATTCTGTGGTTAGAACTGGTCTCTGTCTTCCCTAAATTTATCTTGGGCCTCAAGGGACCATAAGCTAATAAAAGTGGTAAGGAAACAGTGTCTATCCTAGAATCAGTAAAAACATACACTAATATTATAGCTGTATAATGGATCACTACTCAGCAATAGGAACAAATTACTGATAAACATTAACAACATAGATGAATCTCAAAATATTATACTGAGTGAAAGAAACCAAACACAAAAGAGTACATGATGTATTACTTCATTTATATGAAATTCTTAGAAAAGGCACAACTAATCTAGAGTGACAGACAGAAGATCAGTGGTTGCCTGGACTCAGAATGGAGGGAGGAGACTGATGGACAAAGAGCAGAAGATAACACTGTGGGGTGATGGAAATGTTCTATATCTCGATTATAGTGGTGATTAAACAGGTGTATATATTTGTTGAAACTCAGTAAATCATATACTTAAAATGGATGCATTTTATTGTATATAAATTATACCTCAAGAAAGATGATTTTAAAATACATACGTGTGCATAGGTATATATGTGTGTGTGTGCATATGTATGTATATGCACGTGTATGTGTATACGTATGTATGATTCTTTTTATAAAACTCACACATTTCTTTGGAAATATGAAAAAGCTATAATCCTCCCTTCCTCCAGAAAAATGACTATACATGAAGTTTTGCATACAGTTCAAGGGCTCTGAAGCCCATTGATCCCAGATGAAAAACTTTAGTATATAATTGTATAAATCCAGTATTCTAAAAATATGAAAAGCATTAGACAATGTACACATTGTCTATAACAAGGACAAGGAGAAGATTAGAGTCACAAAAGCATCATTTGTAAAGGAGTGCCCAGCGGGCAGGTGGTGGCAGTGACAAAAGCCATGATTTGCTGAGATGATCACTAATATTACCTTCAAGCAAAGATACTAAGTATGGATGCTTTCATTTCCATCTCTAACTTACCCTCAGCTTGATGGCGTAGATTATAAAATTCTCGGGCAATGGTATCTGCCAGCTTCTCACACCATTTCTTTGATGGGCAAAAAAGTAATACTGAATGGCTATCAAGAACAGTCTCATAGCATAAACTAACAACATGGTCCTCGTCTCCCTAAAAAAAGAAAGAGAAATAGTAGCTCTAGTGGAACCTTTAAAATATTTCACATCAGTTTAAAGTCACTCCTTCTGTTTCACAGGGAAGGTTTTTTCTACCCAAGGCATAATAAAAATCAGTTACAAAGTCAATAACAAGAAAAAACAAAAGAAGAAGAAATGTCTTCTTACAATGCAAGGTGAAAAGGAAATATTTTCTATTCATTCAACTAATAGTTATTGAGCTCCAACCCTAGGAAATGGGGTTACAATGGTGAGCAAAGTCAAGGACCTATCTTCAAGGGGTCTATAGTCTCACTGGGGAGACACATTGAAGTACTAAATAAATAAGTGTAAAATACAACCATAAGATATACTGTAAAGAGTTTTATGGTGTTTTAAGGCCTCATATGAGGTAAAATCAACAGAAAGATCTGAAAAGGTTTCCCTGAGAAAACAGGGATTTAGCTGGAGATGTAAATGAGGGGAGGCATTATCTCAGTGAAGGGTAACTGGGTGATAGAGGAACCATTTGAGGCAGAACAAACAGCATGTATGCAGGCCCTATGGTGGCCCAGTTCGAGAAACTGAAAGGCCAGTGTGTGTAACTGGATTGATTCATTGATTCATCTATCTATTCATCAATTAAAGAAATATTTACTATGTGCTAGATATTGTTCTAGGCACTGGGGATACAGCAGTCAACAAAGCAGAAACCAAATAAAACAAACAAAAAGCTACCCTCCTAGCGTCTGTCCTCTAGTAGGAGGAGACAGGTAATAAAAAAACAAGATAAATAAAACACTTAGTATGCTAGATTTTGAAAAGTACAAAGGAGAAAAATAAAGAAGGGAAAGGAAATGGGACCAGGAGTGGAAGGGCACTGTAATTTAGATAAGGTGGCCAGGTAAGGTCTGAGAAAGTGACATCTGAATAAAGGTCTGAAGGTGAGAGAGTGAACCTGGGGGACTCACTGATGCTGGGGGATTAACTAGGGGAAAAGCAATCCAGACAAAGAGAACCTGAGGTGGGAGATTCTTGGCATGTTAAAGGAACAGCAAAGAGGTCAGTGTGGAGGGACTGAGAGGGAGTAGTAGTAAGGGAAGGAAGCCCTGGTGGTGTAGCAGTTAAGCACTTGGCTGCTAACCAAATGGTACTCACCAGCGGCTCCATGGGAGAAAGATGTGGCAGTCTGCTTCTGTAAAGATTACAGTCTTGGAAACCCTATGGGGCTGTTCTACTCTGTCCTATAGGGTCGCTATGAGTCAGAATTGACTTGAGGGCACACAAAAACAGTAGGAGGGGAAGTAATTTCACGTAGTAGATGAGATTAAGGAGCACCTGGGTACTTCCAAAAGGTCACAGCCTTGGAAATCCCATGGAGCAATTCTACTCTGCACATATGTATGGCCTTCTGGGCCATTATAAAGATGTTGGCTTTTATTCTAAATGAAACAGAAAGCCATTGCTAGTTTTTTAGCAGAAGTATGACATGGCCTGTTGTCCATTTTAAGTAGATCACTGGCTCCTGATTTAAGTATAGACTGAAGGGGACAGGTCAGAAACAGAGAGATCAATTAGGTAGCTATTTCAATAATCCAGGTAAGAGCTGGAAGTGACTTCAAACAGATTGGAGGCATAGATATGGTAATAAAAGAAAAGGATAAACAAAAGAGTAAACAAATGAGTTTACATATGTGTTAATCAAGGCAGAGCCAATTAAAGTTAGGGACAGAGGATCGTCCACTTTTCCCATTATAATATGAACATTTCCTGGTACATCTGATTAAAGTACATTCACATATACACTCTCTCCTAACTTATTGACATGGTTAGGTTCCAAAGACTAGGTCATTATATGAAATTAGCATTATGCAAAAATGGAGGATGACCACATCAGATCACATAATGGAGGATGACTACATCATTATATAACTGCCAAACCACTGAGAATCATGGCCCAGCCAAGTTGACACATAAACTTAATCCTCACAGCCAGCATTACTCTCGCCTCACACTTCAGCGTTCGTTACTGCCAGATGTGCATTGTTAATGATCAAAATAGTCAGATGGTAGATTTTTTACTATTGTCGTAAATGCAATAATGTTGGATAACTAGATATTTGATTAGTGAGGAGGTGTATATCTATATAGATATAGAGACATAGATGTATGTAACTACATAAAAATATGTAATGTAAAATGAATATATATTTTATATATATATATATATATTTTTTTTTTTTTTCCTCTTACTGATAGGCACTGAGCATAAAAGAGCTCAGAAGGGCTTCTGAGAATACCAGCTTTCTTCAGGAACATGAATGGGCCAACCTTAGCTACCTTTTGCAAATAACTGTTGTTACAAGAGAACAAAAATTTAGAATGTAGGTTTAATATGCAAAAATTAAGAACATACATAGGATGGACCAGTTAGAATGTGGTTTCTATACTGAATACTTGAGAATAAAGTGAGGCATAAAAAAACATGCCTATCTGTCACTAGCATGCTCATGCGTTCACAATTTCAGACTCTACATTTATTGTTGGGCATGATACAAGATAAGGCTGGTATGCTGGAAGGTAGGTTGTGGTCAGACGAGGCAACTTTCTAGGCTGTGCTAAAAATGTTGATATTTATCCTAGAGTAACAAGAAGCAATTGAAGGTTTTAAGCAGGAAACGTGGTCAGATTTGCTTTTTTAAAGTAGACCACTCAAGTTTGTTATGTGGAGAATGGATGGGGTAGGAGGAGAAAGAGAAGATGTCATTTAGGAGGCAACTATTATGATCCAGGTAAGAGATGAGGACAGCCTAGATTAGGACAGCAGCAGTAGAGGTGGAGGAAAATGGACAAATTCAAGAGATATTTAGGAGGTAAAATTGATACAGCTTGGTGATAAATTAGATGTAGGGGGAGGGAAAATGGAGGTAGCAAAAATGATGTTTAGATTTCTGTTTTGTGGCAACTGTAAGAATTATATATGCCATTAACAAAAGGAAATGTGGTAGAACAACAAATTTGAGAGTTAGGACAATGAATTTAATTCTGGACATAAAGAGTTTGATGTTTTTAAAATACCTAAGATATGTCAGGCAATTGGGCCTATAGGGAGAGATTTGGGACAGCGTGGAGGTAGAATCTAAAGAGAAAGTTACTAAAGCATAAGAGAAAACAAGAAAGGTTGATTGTTAACCTCTACTATAACAATGAGTGCAGTGGAATGTGGTGAGTAGCTGTAGCAGATGGTAAGACTATCTCAGAAATTCTTTTTTTTTTTTTAATTCCTTTTGACTAATCCAGGTTATTCCATCCCACCACCATTACTTCATTATTGACTCTCAGCCAATATATAAACAATCAAACTTCTTAAAAACACAGAAGAATTTACTGTATCTTAAAACGCAATTATATCCACTTAACTTGTTATGGTTAGTTTCCTGATGTATTGCGTATTAAACACATGCTTCTTCCTCTTTCCAAAGAGCTGACACACCCTTCACTCAGGAGAACCTTTCATCTAAAGTTAATAGTATTGGACTGTCCAGTATTGGATACAGAAAGTTGGAAAGAGTGTCACTGTCACCTTTACAACAACACAGAAAAGCTGGAGAATCTGCAAATTCACAACTTTTCTTGAACCCATCAGAGAACTGAGGTTGTGGCACAACTAACTAACCCAAAATCTAAGGAAAGACAGAGGCCTCTAAAGAGAAACAGGACACGCCCATTCACAGCTCTTCTCCAAAGACCTCACTGGGTGCTCATGAGAAAGACTGAGGGCAATACTTAGGAATAAATCTATCAGTGACGTAAAGGACCTATACAAAGAAAACTACAAGACACTACTGCAAGAAACCAAAAGAGACCTACATAAGTGGAAAAACATGCCTTGCTCATGGATAGGAAGACTCAACATTGTGAAAATGTCTTTCTACCCAAAGTGATCTTCAGATGCAAGAAAGACTGAGGGCAGACCTGAAAAAGCCTCCCTTGTGGTGTAGGCTTTGGGGAAGAGGAATAGCAGCCACTGCCTGAAAGACACAAAGCCGCACATCCTCTGCCCTATTCCTACATAAAACAAAAAGCTTTAAGCTTTAAGGGCAGCAAATCCTGTCCTACTCAGGCCAGAGTTAAAGACCCATTGCAGCTGAGGGGACAGAACAGGAAAAAGCCCCTCCACCCCTAAGGAAGAAACAGGGAAAGTCCTGGACTCAGATCATTAGACACCCCTGCTGCTGGGCGGCAAGCCGAAAGACAATGGAAGGGCATCTTTAAAGTGGTAAAAGAAAAAAACAAAACTCTCAACTCCGAATTCTGTACCAGGAAAAACGAATTCTATGCCCTTTAAAAAAGATGAAGAAATAAAGACTTCTCAGACAAACAAAAACAGAGAAATCATTACCAGACCTGCACTACAAGCAATGTTAATTAAAATTCTTCAGGCAGAAAGAGTATGATACCAAACAGAAAGATGGATCTACAAAAGAAATGAAGAGGGCTGGAAATGGCATAAATGAAGGTAAATATAAATTTCTTTCTTTTTTTTTCTTCTTATTTTTAATAGTTTTAAACCAGAGATTGGCAAACTGTGGCCCACAAGCCAAATTTAGTCCACCACTTTTCCCATGCCGCCTGTGAGCGAAGAATGGTTTTTACATTTTTAAATGACTGGGGGAAAAAACAAATCAAAGGAATAATAATATTTTGTGACACATGAAAATCATATGAAATTCAAATTTCAATAAAGTTTTGTTGGAATACAGCCATGCTCATTCATTTGTGCATTCTCTATGGCTACTTTCACCCTACAGCCACAAAGGTGATTAATGGCAATAGAGACCATGTGGTCAGAAAGCTTACAGTATTTACTGTCTGGTCCTTTACAGAAAAAGTTTGTGGACCCTGCTCCAAAAGAGCAATGACTGTCTAAAGAAAAACGGTATGGATGTATTGCATATTCATAGCATATGTAGAAGTAAAATGTATAATGATAGCACAAACTATGAGAGAGGAATTGCTTTACGATTCTTACAGCACATGTGATGTAAGTTATTTGAAAGTAGACTGAATTAAAGATGTATCTTATAAATCCTAGGGAAATCTCAAAAAATTTTTAAATAAGTATAAATAATAAGCCAGTAGTAGAATATTAAAGAGTGGAATCATAAAAAAATACTCAATTGATCTAAAATCAATTGTCTTCCCAGCCATCAGAGAATACAAAATTCTAAAATAAATCTCAAAGCAACTCAATAAGATTCCATACCAAGTATGCAGAATCTACGAATGCATACCTATGAGGTACTGAGAATCTAGTCCTCTTCCCAACCCCAAACTTATAATTAGTTGTTTCAGTTCTCAGAAGGGCAAATCTGCATAAAAATAGGAGATGTCTCATTCCACAGATATACATCAATCAGTTCTTTAACCTCAGGGCTGAAGAAATCAGGCTTAGAAAAATAAATTACCATCAACTAGAACTTTTAAAGTGTATTTAGGGGAATGGGAAGGAAGTATTATATGTATAACCTTCTAGATGCTAGACAATTTTTAAAAAATCACATTGCATTTTTACGACAATCCTACAGGTATCATATCCCATTTAGTAGATGAAGAAACTAGGTTCAGAGAGGTTTTGTGATTCAACTAATACCACAGTCATATTAAGTATCTTGATTAAGCATCAGAGATAGGTCTGACTCCAAAAAGTATGTTCTTTCCACTCTACTACATATTACACATGTCGTTCAACAAAAGGTTTATCTTGCACATTAGTATTTAATCTAAACTAAACCATAAGAAAATCTTTCCACAGTTAAATAAAAATTCTATAAAATTCTCATTATTATCAGTTTACAAGATTAATCAGGAAATGATAATCATATAAATTGAAGGCACGACTATATTTCCTCTCTCACCAACACTACCAAGTCTGCAAGATGAAATCGATTAGCTTAATGTTACCATTCCTTCTAATCGATATATAACGCATATAACTACTTTTCAGTTCCTAATTTACATAATTCAAAAATTAACAACTTGCTAGTAAATGAATCAAACAAAAGATCCTCATAGTAGTGACGTAAAAATATTACTTTACCTTCACTTGTAGCATGGGTTGAAATTCTCTCACAAGCTTCATTGAAGAGTCATATATGGAATTTCCAATTTTTACTGATTCCAAAAGTGGCACAGGGCGAAAGTCGGTGTGATAGAGCTCAGCATTCAACCAGGAAGCCACCAGCTCCAAATTAGGAAGAGTAGCACTCATGCCAACAATCTGCACAGCATTAGACTGAAGACTGGCTAAATCTGCCTGGCTGTGAAAAGCAAATAAAATAATGTTAAAAGATACAGTATTAATTACAAATAGTGCTGTTAACAATTTTCTTGGTCACGTCCTTCGGTACACACGGACATGCTTTTCTTTTTGGGTATATACCTAGGAATAAAATTATTGGATCATAGATTATAATTATCTTCAATTTTAGTAGATAATGCCAAACTGTTTACCAAAGACTCTGTACCAAAGTAACACCCTACAATCTGTGTGTTCTATTGCTCCGCATCCTTGCCAACATTTGGTATTGTCCATCTTTTTAATGTTAGACATTATGGAGGGTGTGTGGTAATATTAAGGAGCCCTTTTGGTGCAGTGGTAGGCAGTTGGAACCCATTAGCTGCTCTGTGGAAAAAGATGTGGCAGTCTGCTTCTGTAAAGATTTACAGCCTTGGAAACCTTATAGGGTCGCTATGAGTCAGAATTGACTTGACAGCCGTGGGTTTGATTTTAATAATGGAAACTAGAAGACAATGAAGTAATGCCTTGACCACTCTAACAGAAAGTACTTCCAATCTTGACTTCTATACCTAGACAATAGATGAATTAAATGTAAGACATTTTCAGACATACAAGGCCTCAAAAAATTTATATCCATATGCCTTTTCTCTGGAAGTTCCTGGAGGATATCCCTACAAAAATGAGAAGGTAAACCAGGAAAAAGACAGATGATCAAAAAAAGGGGGCTCTGACTCAAGCAAAAGGCAATGTGAATGAGTGATGATGATAAAGGTGACTGCTATCCGGCACATATGTAGATTAACCTAACTAGACGGGAGCAACTCAGAAGGCTATAGGAGAAACTTCTTTAGTAAGATGAAATTGGTAGAATAGCTGAAATATACTGGGTGGAGATTTACACATCTAGGGAAGAGGCTGGGGACAAATTAGTGAGAAGTCCATAGAAAACCAAGCCATCAAACAAAAAAAGACATTTATTAACTTCAGAGGAAAAAGTTATTTAGAAAAGTAAAAGCAATCATAGCATACTACGTGGCTCAGTTGACAATGACATTTATATAGTCATAATAGTGTAACAGGAGTCCCTGGGTGGTACAAACAGTTAACGTTCTCAGCTGCTGACCAAAAGGTTGGTGGTTCGAGTCCACCCAAAAGGTGCTTTAGAAGAAATGTCTGGTGATCTACTTCTGAAAATCAACCATTGAAAACCCTGTGGTGCACAGTTCTACTCTGACGCAAATGGGGTCACCATCAGTTGGAATCGATGGCAACCAGATACTGATCTAAGCGAAATTATGACAATTATATTTGCACAATGGAAAGATGATGAGAGGATAAGAGAGAGGATGTAGGGCCCACTTTGCGGGAGGAGCATGGGTAGGGGTGCATAAAGAATATAAAAAATGCTAGATCTTCGTCTTCCATAGTAAGAAGTCAACTGAAAACATGTAAAACTAAAAACTCAAGTAGCTGCATTTAAAGATAAAGCTGTAAATAAAAAAATTAAAAAGAAAAAAAAGCTTAGAGTTGAAAGCAGTCGCTCTGGTAAGCTGGAGGGAAAGAAATGCTGTTTTTCAAAATTAGCCTTGACTACTTGAATTATATGCATGTATAATTAATGCATGTTAATTACATGACAAATATAAAAACTAGATTTTAAAAAATCTAGCATAAAAGTGTGCTCACAGAGATCAAGCAGAGTGAGCAGCCAGAAATATAAGAATGTTTACAAAGTAATCTAAAATCAATCTCAGTCTGAAGTACTTCTTTTGGAACATATAAGAAAAGCACTACTCTCCTGCTTTAATTTATTTAACTACTACTTATTATGCACTTATGTGACACTTTCTCAACATTGTTTGGAATCTCAAAAATGCAAAGTTATTTCAAGTACTCACCAAGATGCTGATTTCTGAGTAATATAGCAAACCTTGGTCAGCAAAAGCTCCAGCAGATATCCTCGGTGAGCATCTCCCAGCATATGCAGTTCATCTACAACCACCATTCCTAAAACGATTTTCCAGACACTAGGTTTTACAGAATTTCAAAGTTCTGAGAAGACTTTTAAAAGACTCAATGTTTTATCTTATAAAATAGCTGTCATCATAATATATTGCAGGTTGGTGGACATGTCTAACCATAAAACAAAAATCAGATTCCACACGATGGACAACTCTTTTCCAAGATGTTTCAGATGCGATGGGTGGCACTCCTACAATATATCCTGAATCTAAAAATCAGTTATTTGCTTACTTGGGGCTAACCAAGCACAGGGAAAACCACTGCTTGTTACTCTGTCACTTCTAAATCGGCAATCTTGTAGAAATGAATGTACAATGAGAGAGCAAAGGCATCTATGTCAGTTATTCAGTGTATTGACTTTTCTGTGGGGAAACAATCATGGCAACCATTCTCATGTTACCAAGTTGCTTGGAAACAGAATTAGATCAAGGAGAAATAAATGATTTTAATGGATTTTTTTGTGTGATTATGGTAGGCTAGTGAGTCATCCTACTTCAAAGCATAAGTATGAATAATGCCCTTCTCCACTACTTGGAGAATTGGTCCAGTCTATGCAGTTGGAACAATGCTCAATAATTAATGAAAATTTAGTATCAACCAATGCCTTCTTTAGTTAAACATTACCATTGCCAAGTACACTGGTGTCTCCTCCATAAATCCCCACCTGCAAAATCAAGATCTTTCAGACTATTTCCTTTTGACACATGACGCTCCTTTTCCTCATCAGTAAGCTATCTCTAAGTCATGATGAGTTATTTCAACATTTATTCATTTATCCAAAAAATATGAGCTCTGCCTAGTGTGCTAGACACTGTCCTAGGTGCACTGGATTTAACACTTGAGATTCAGTCTCAATCCTCAAGATAAAGTCCAAGGGGAGACACAATAAGAGAATTCTGAAACAAATTGGTGCATGTGATTTCTCTCTACATGCTTTTAGAGAGTTTTTAATAAGAGTCTGTGTATTATCAAACTTTGATTCCTAACCCCTTCCCTAACTTTATCATGGTATTTTAAGTTCAGCAGCTAACTGATAACTGTTGCTGCTGTTGTTACAACCATTCTATTCCTGTTGCTACTTCTACATAGTGGGCCCTCTATAGTGGTTAAAAATAATCAAAAATAATCTGGAAAACCTTCCTAGAGTCCCACGCTCAAATACAGTGTCAGTTTCTGTAGCTCTCCACCACTTCCCTGCTAAATGGGTAGCCTCTGGGTCCAGGCCTAATCAGGCTGTATAGCACCAGAGTATGATAATAAACATACAAATACACTGATTGTAGAAACGTTAAACCAAGCCCCCACATGCTTCCTTTTATTCTTGGTAAAGTTTAGCCAGGACAGAAGTAATGCATGATTCAAGGGCTCAAGGATAACCTCTACATTTCGTAAAGGACAAAAAAGCAAGGAAGTATAGGCAATAACAGCTGTAGGACACAAAACTTATACTTTATTTTACTGAGTCCTAACATTACAGATGCCAATTCTGGCCTCCAGAAGTAGAGGACAAACAAGAGAAAAACAACACGGGATGCACAGAAATCACAACAGCTCCACGGCATTCCATCAAAAATAGTAATAAAAAGTATTTACTTATTTTCTTATTTGGCTTACCTACGAGATCCATCTTATTTTCCCCTATGAGGCGATTGATCAGACCATTGGCTCTCTCAATTGTGCAGATAGCAATATCCAAGGAAGAGAAATGCCCTGTTGGAGAGGTACTGCCCATATACCCGTCTACTTTTATTCCTACTTCCTGAAACAGGCTCTAAATTGAGTAAAAAGGAACAACACATGTAAAAATAATTTGAAATGTATGAAGTATAGGTCAAAGCACAAATTGGGTCTATCCCAGAACACAGACTTAAGTATCTAAGAACATTTGTATCAGTTTACTCCTGGCCTGAACCTATTGCTTCTTTTTTATGTATTTTTACACTAAAAATATGAAGTTTAGAATTAACAAAACTCAGTAGAGATTTTCTGTTAAGACAGAATCAAAACATGAAGTATGCCATTTTAATGGCAGCACTTAAAAATCAAAGCAGTTCTAAGAGCTATTTATAGAAATTTATAGAAAGTGGGTAAAAATTAACTTAGGCATTAACATTTTTGATCTAATAAATAAGCAAGAAACTATTTCTACAATGCCAATGCAACACACTTTAAGAAACAAATTTATACTTCATGAGGAAGATATTCTCATTATCCCAGTAAAGACCAATTCTCTATGTAATGGAAGAAAAGTTTTAAAAAGTCAAACGCAGTGGGACTGTAATGTTAACTTTTTTTAGTTTAACTTTTAACTAACATACCTTCTCAATAAGAAGGATCCTTTCATCATTTTGTTATGTTACTTTGGCTCTAAGTTGAGAGGATGTAACCATGTAGAACCAGCTTTGTTGGCTATTTGGCCTCTGAAATAACTGTTAAAAAGATTTACAGAACCATAGAACTTTAGAGCTGTTCATTCAGTAAAATTTTTCTGAGTGTTTATTGAGTTAACCCACTGTGCTAGGGTTAACATCCTCATTTTACAAATAAAAAGACAGGCCCAGAAAGTTATGTGCCTGGCCTGAAGATACAGTGGCAAAACTGGGACTAGAACCCAGATTTCTCGAACACCCAGTACAACGATCTTTCTACTCCAACAGCACGTTTTTCCACTACAGAAATCACAGTAGTAAATTTCTGTTTAATGAAACACTGTATTTGGGAAAATGCCTTAGAAACCAATAAGTACAATTTAAATGTAAATTGTTATTATTACTCATTTTTGCAGGAGAACACAGGAACAGATCACAGGCCTAGAGCTTTACCTATGCACCAATGGGTCCTGTTCTTCATCCCCTAAATGTTCCCAAAAGGTCCTCAGTTGAGATGGGATGTGCTTCCTTAAGTACTCTTTCCTCTCCATGCTTCAGTCTAGCACTATTATTCAGTTAAAATGCTGATTCATAATTTGCACATTTATATGCTAACTGAAGTATTCTGTTTACTTCCTAAGGAAAAGTTTACAAGTTTTTACACAAATTTTATCAACTACTCTTAATTTTATGGCCCTTTCTCCTATAACCCTGTTAAAAAACCCATTGCCACTGAGTCGATTCCAACTCATAGCGACCCTATAGGACAGAGTAGAACTGCCCCATAAGGTTTCCAAGCAGCGGCTGGTGGCCCACCTTTTGGTTAGCAGTCAAGCTCTAGAGTTTCCCTCCATAAATGGTCAACTTTTAAAGCAATGTTGGGATGCAATAAAAGAAATTTTTATTTTTCACTGTTTTTACAATTCTATTCAGACGAGGAAAGCCAAAGTTCCAGTAATAGGCCCTTCACTATTTCAAACTTAGTACAAGAGCGTTACCTGGAGATAGTATTTCTTCTCCTTAGCCACAGAGACAAAGGGCAGAATAAACAAAGCTTTCTTCCGCGTTTCTAAAACCCGTTTCAAAATAAGTAATTCAGCAACAAGAGTCTTCCCAGCACTTGTAGGAGCTAAAAAATGATTATTTCAAAAGGTTATCACAAAAAAAAGGAATATTCACGCTGCATTAATAAATATTTTAAGCCACTGTTTAGTAGCTCCAAAACCTAACGCTAACCTATCATTAATGCCCCAACTAGCATTTGAAACATTTATATCAGCTTCCTAAATAGTCTCACACTGAAAACAGATAATTATTAAATGAATCTTTATATTAATAAACAATTAATACTATTGAGTGCCTAGCTTATACCTAAAGATCCTTTCCTTTAAGTACCGGATGGTTAAAATCCCTGCCTTATAAAGGTTTACAGACTATTAAGAAAGGAGATGAAAATTTTTAATATATTGTGATAGAAGCTATGACAGAGGATGAGGAAGTTGTAAGGAAGCTTATGGAAAGGGGACAGAACTCAGTATTGAGAAGGGAGGGAAGAAGAAAATGAATGCCAACCGGAAGAATCAGCATGTCCTAAGGCTGGAGGAAAGTCTGACATGTTCAGATAACTGGAAGTCATTCAGTAAACCTGGAGCATAAAGCACAAGTAGGGAAGTGAAACAAGAGCTATGAAAGGGCCAGATGAAGGGTTTTATAATCTCACCATGTAAGGAGTTTAGCCTTTACCCTGAGAGCAATGCAGAGTGACTGATGAGTTTTATGAAGGGGAGTGACAATGTCATATTTGTACTTTATAAAAATCACTTTGGCTGTAGGAGCAGGGAAAGACCAGAAGAAAAAGATAAACTAGTAGCAAGGCTATTACATAATCTAGAAGATGAAAGTGGGCTGAACCAAAGTAATGGACCTGAAAACAAAGGAAGTCAGAATCAAGAGGTAGTTGAGGTTCCTCAAAATGTTAAACACAGTTACCATGCAACCCAGCAATTCCACTCCTAGGTACACAACCAGGAGAAATGAAAACAAACGTCTCCCAAACATTTGTATACAAATGTTCACAGCAGCATTATTCTTTATAGCCAAAAAGTGAAAACAACCCAAATATCCATCAACTAATGAACTGACAAATAAAAGGTAGTATATTCATATGTTGTTGTTGTTGCTAGGTGCCATCGAGTCAGTTCCAGCTCATAGCAACCCTGTGTACAACAGAACGAAACACTGCCCAGTCCTGCACCATCCTCACAATCGTTGTTATGCTTGAGCCCATTGTTGCAGCCACTGTGTCAATCCATCTCATTGAGGGTCTTTCTATTTTTCACTGACCTTCTACTTTACCAAGCATGATGTCCTCCAGGGACTGGTCCCTCCTGATAACCTGTCCAAAGTATGTGAGATGAAGTCTCACCATCCTCACTTCCAAGGAGCACTCTGGATGTACTTCTTCCAAAATGGATTTGTTCGTTCTTCTGACAGTTCATGGTATATTCAATATTCTTCACCAACACCATAATTCAAAGGCATCAATTCTTCGGTCTTCCTTATTCATTGTGCAGCTATCACATACATATGAGGCTACTGAAAATACCATGGCTTGGTTCAGGTGCACCTTAGTCCTCAGAGTGACATCTTTGCTTTTTAACACTTTAGAGAGGTCTTTTGCAGTAAATTTGCCCAATGCAATACTTCATTTGATTTCCTGACTGCTGCTTCCATGGGCGTTGATTGTGGATCCAAGTAAAATGAAATCCTTGACAACTTCAATATTTTCTTCATCTATCATGATGTTGCTTATTGATCTAGTGAGGACTTTTGTTTTCTTTATGTTAAGATGTAATCCATACTGAAGGCTGTGGTCTTTGATCTTCATCAGTAAGTACTTCAAGTCCTCTTCGCTTTCAGCAAGCAAAAGTGTATCACCTGCATAAGGCAGGTTGTTAATGAGTCTTCCTCCAATCCTGATGCCACATTCTTCTTCATATAGTCCAGCTTCTCGGATTATTTGCTCAGCATATAGATTGAATAAGTATGGTGAAAGGATACAACCCTGACGCACGCCTTTCCTGAGTTTAAACCACGCAGTATCCCCTTGCTCTGTTCAAACAACTGCCTCTTGGTCTATGTACAGGTCCTGCAAGAACACAATTAAGCGTTCTGGAAATCCCATTCTTCATTTAGTCAAAAAAACACAGATAAATATCTTTCTGGTATTCTCTGCTTTCAACCAAGATCCATCTGACATTAGCAATGATATCCTTCATTTCACGTTCTCTTCTGAATCTGGCTTGAATTTCTGGCAGTTACCTGTCGATGTACTGCTGCAACCATTTTTGAATGATCTTCAGCATAATTTTACTTGTGTGTGCCATGAATAGTATTGCTCAATATCCACATAATGGTATATTATATGGCCATAAAAAGAAATGAAGCACTCACACATGTTACAACATGGATTAACCTTGAAAACATTACACTAAGTAAAAGGAGCCAGACACAAAAGGCCACATATTATATGGTTTCACTTATTCATATAACTTCATAATTCCTAGAATAGGAATATCTATACAAAAGTGCATCTTACCCAATGGTTAGATTCTAAAGTCAGCATTGGAAGCACGGGTTAAAATTGTGTATGTCAAAGTTTCCCTTGAAAACCCATATAAATCTTCTATAAAGTATATTATGTATGGTTTTGTATATACAACCCTGTATAAGCAGGTCACTTTATAACATATAACGTATAATGTTCACACCCTGAAAAGTAACTGAGGTCACCTGGGAAAAGAGCAGAGTTATATCTGTCATCACACAATTCCTCTGTGCTATGGATTGAGCTGTGTCCCCCCAAAATATGTTTGCAAACCCTAACCCCTATACCTGTGGTGATAATCTCATTTGGGAATGGATTTTCTTTGTAATGTTAACGAGGCATTATTAGTGTAGGGTGTATCTTAAGTAAATCTCTTTTGAGATATAAAAGCAGATTAAGTAGCAGAGATAGGGGAAGATAGATGCCAAGCCACATGGAGATCTCCAAGGATCCAGTAAATAAAAGCTGAAAAGAGACAAGGACCTTCCCCCAGAGCCAACAGAGAGAGAAATCTTCCCCTAAGCCGGCACCCAAATTCATTCACTGAATTCAAACTTCTAGCCTCCTAAACTGTGAGAAAATAAATTTCTGTTCATTAAAACCACGGATTTGTGGAATTTCTGTTACAGCAGCACTAGATAACTAAGACATGTTTTCTGAGCGGAATGCCAGGCAGAATTGTCCACTCTTCAATTGTAATTTTTCTTGCTTTTTCCCCCAAGTCATATAATGGAATTTGCATAACTTAAATAAGCACGAGACTCCACTTTTCATATATATTTTAAAACTTTTGTAAAGGACTCTCTCATGCACCTTTAAAAAATTTCTAAGTCCCTAGTAGAGTATCTTTTATATTCATAATGTCTTAAATAGTAATGAAATTAAATTGCACAAATCTGAATACCTGAATAGACTAAATTCTTTCCTTCCAGGACCTGTCCAAGCAAAAGGCACTCTGCCTGCCACTCAAACATCTTTTTTACACCAAAACTGTGGTATTTCTCCAGCACCACTTGAGGAAGTCCCCAATTTGCCAATAGTAGCTTGTCTGTTTGGTCCTCAGGAACTGCCTGCTTGCATGTCCCTTTCAGGAAAAAAGAAAAAAGTAATTAATAGTTGAATATAGTTCTAACATATGACTTTAGTAGTTAGCCCTCCACTATGGGTTGGAATTCCTTTGTGTTGGAATGAGGCTATTTAAAGCACATCCTGAATTTGAGTAGCTTATGAGAAATTAACCATGTATAGAAAAATAATAGTAAACAGTTGTTTAATTGTTCTTGTTGTTGATAGGTGCCCTCAAGTTGGCTCCGACTCATGGTGACCCCATGTACAACAGAATGAAGCGTTGGGTGGTTCTTCACCATTGCTGAAGCAAATGTGTATTTATTTGAGTACCTTCCAAACTAGGGGGCTCAACTGCCAGCACTGTATAGGACAATAATCTAAATAATTGTTTAATTAGATATGATAAAAGCAGTTCCTTAAAGGCCCCAAACAAAAAAGTTGTAGGTGTGTTGGAATAATAATGGGCAAAAAAGCAACAGATTGCAAACACTGCAGAGTTAAGTTAGGGAAGTTTCTATAGAAGTTTCAACACTCTGCTGATACACAACCCAATGGTAAAGAATTGGGTCAACATTCATTGGACACCCAGCCAATCTAAGAAAACATTACAAATCCCTTCCAGCCTTCCCCTGGACTCCAAACAGCCTGTGCCATACTCCAGACCTGAAAATCCGGGATAAGGATCTGTGCGAAGTACTAGGCACTATTAGGAGGGAACCTTTCACAAGCGATAGGATTTGCCGAACTAGAAGTTGTTTCTGTAAAGGTTGAAAGACCCAGCAACCATTTTAACGGCCCTACCGGCGGTCATTGAATATGGGTGGACAGCACGTCCATGTCCGAACAGAAAGTGATCTGCTGCTCCAGACGTGAGTTACAAACAAGGAGAGTAGAAGCCGAATCGACCGTGCAAACAAATTCGGCGCGATGAGAAGCCCCTGGACACCTCCCATCAAACGGCCCAGTGGAGCTGTCCCCCTCACCCCGCTGCCCGCGCGGTCCCTGGGAGTACCTGCAGCAGCGGCCGACAGGCGGTCGTGATCCTTCAAATTGCGCCCCAGGCCCGGGGGCGGGCTCAGCACGGAACCCAAGGGGAGCTGGCAGCTGTCACTGCCGTCACCGCCGCTTCCCGGGGAGTCTGAGCCTGATGCTGAACGCCGCCGTTTCCCATTCCGGCGAGAAAGATTCATCGCGAACCCTCCTCGGCAGTTCAGGGCAAACCACAGTCCCAGAGCCCTCCCGCTCGGGAGGAGTCGGATCCGGTGACAGCTTCGGCCGCCATCTTCCCGCCACGGTTTTCAAACTCGGGACTCCCAGCCGGCCCGGGAACCATAGAGTAGAGTGGAGAGAGCAACCTGAAAACTATAGAGTCGTGGGAAAGAGAGGCTCTCACTGGTTAGTGTAGAGGTTAGGGTAGCGGAGCTGACCTGCGGCTAGGTTAAGCGAGAACCCAGGATCTGCATTTGTAATCCGCTGTTATAATCAGACTGTCCTGAAAAGATTTCCTTCTCTGATTTGAATAGCAAGGTTATTACAAACTTCGGAAAATGAGCAGGGTAGTTTTCTCTCTTTGCCTATTCTGTGGAACTTTGTGTCTTAAATTTGAAGATTTGGTTAGAACTCTCTTGGTAAAATACTCTGATACTGGTTTGCTTTTTTGTTTGTTTGTTTTTTTAATGAATAAATTTTAACTATCGGTTTCATTTATTTAGTGGTTATAGGCCCAGTCAGTTCTTCTATTTATCCTTGAATCAGTTTGTGTAATTTATATACCCCAGAAAATTGTCCATTTACTTTCTTTCTTTCTCTTTCCCTTTCTTTCTTTGTTCCTTCCTTTATTCCTTTCTTTTCTGTATACAGTTCATTATTATAGTTTCTTATGATTTATTCAATAACTATTTTGTCTATAATTATGTTACCCTGTTCATTCCTTTCATTTTTGAGCTTGCTGTCACTCTTGTTTGTTTTTAATTAATCTTGCCAGTGGTTTGCTATTATATTGATCTTTTAAAAGAACTAGCTTTTATTTTCGTTGATCCTCTCCATTGTTTCTATTTCATTCATTTCTGCTCAAATATTTATAATTTCCTTCTAATTCGGGGGGAGGGGAATAGTTGCCTGTTATTTTTCTAATTTACTAACCTGCATTTAGTTCATTAACTTTCAGTTTCTTTAGTTGTGTTGTTCAACTTTTCTAGAAATTTATGAATTTTTCTGGTCATTTGCATCTAGAAATTAAGACAACTATGTTACAATATTTCACAGTGCTTGTAGATTTGTCAATTTCTTCTTGAAATTCTAGCACTTAAGTACATTAGACACTAAAGGAAAAAGAGGTGGTGGAATTAGGGATACAGAAAAGTGAGGTGGGACACAGAAGTGGAGATATCTGGGCTGGATGAAAACAGAGGCAATTCCCTTTTTATATTGGCCTAAGGGTTTTCATACGAAGCCCTGGTGGCGCAATAGTTAAGCGCGTAGTTGCTAACTTAAAGGTCAGCAGTTCAAACCCACCAGCCACTCGGCTCCAGTGGAGGAAAGACCTGGAGGTCTGCTTCTGTAAAGATTTCAGCCTAGGAAACCCTATGGGAGAGTTCTACTCTGCCCTATAGGGTTGATAAGAGTTGGAATTGACTCAACAGCACACAACAAGGGTTTTCATGAAATTCTTCCTGGAGAGTGATTATATATGAATATATCACCCCACTGTGTACTGTTCATTGTTGTTTTATATAATTAAACTTACATTAACTGTATTGAAAACTATATATATTTCTTCCCAATATTATTACAGGTGAAATCAACATCTGAGAGAGCCTAATATCTATTTCAGTCAAAATATGGTGCCCATAATAGGTAGATCAGAGAAGTAGCTCTTAACATACTGGTATTTCAAGAAGAATTATTCCAGATTGTGTATGTAAAACACTTATCTTAGTGCTGCGATAACAGAAATACCACAAGTGGTTGGCTTTAACAAACAGAAATTTATTTCCTCATGGTTTACGAGGCTAGAAGTCCGAATTCAGGGCACTGGCTGTAGGGAAGGCTTTCTCTCTCTGTAGGCTCTGGGGGAAGGTGCTTGTCTCTTCTTCAGCTTCTATTGCTTGGCTCCTTGGTGATCTGCATGTGGCATGGGGTCTCTCGTCTCCCATCTCTTCTTCCTCGCTTGCTTGTTTAATCTTTATTTTTCAAAAGAGATTGACTCAAGACACACCCTATACTAATCCTGCCTCATTAGTATAGCAAAGACAACCCATTCCCAAATGGGATTATAACCAAAGGCATAGAGATTAGGAATTACAATACATATTTTTGGGGGACACAATTCAATCCATAACAACATTATACAGGTAAAATCCAGAGTTACTAACGGAGCATAGCTCACCCCTATCAGTGTATGAAGATAGGGCAAAGTCTATTTCTGGGCACAGTTTCTATTTTAGCAATATGCACTGTGAGGACTATGTGATGGCAAGTTGGGGGTTGCTGGCATACAGACCCCTTAGATAGCTATATGAACGCTTCATGGAAGGGACTCTAAATGTGCCTCTAAATGCCCTGAATGATCACTCTGAGCCAAAAGCTCATTAATGGATCTGTTCTCCACCTTTTGGCAAGGTAGAATCAAACGAGTTCTGGACATAAAGTGGTGCCTACTAATTACTTAGTTGTAAAATTAATTTCACCAAGCAAACCTAATAGGTGAGAGGCCTTCCCTGAAGAGGCTGTGCTATTCTATAGCATCCAAAATTTCAAAAGGGTCAGTCCAATAAAAAAGGTTCATACAAGTCTGAGAAATAACTACCTTATAAAGAAAATGGAGTCCCTGGGTGGTGAAAAAGGTCCCTGGGTGGCACAGACAATTTGTGCTCAACTACTAAATGAAAGGTTGGTGGTTCGAATCCACCCAGGAGCCCCGTGCAAGAAAAGCCTGGTGGAGAAAGGCCTGTCAGAAGAAAGGACTGGTGATCCACTCCCATAAGATTAAACCAAAAACAAACCCATTGCATCGATTCTGACTCCTAGAGACCCTATAGGACATAGTAGAACTGCACCATGGGGTTTTCAAGGCTGTAACCTTTACAGAAGCAGACTGCCACATCTTTCTCCCACAGAGCGGCTGGCGGGCTCAAACTGGCTGACCTTTTGCTTAGCAACCGAGCGCTTAGCCACTGCCCCAGCAGTGATCCTTTCCATAAGAGTACAGTCATTGAAAATCCTATGGAGCGCAGGTCTATTCTGACACACATGGGGTCGCCCTGAGTCCAATTTTTCCAACAAGTTGTGTAGTTGATGCTCTTGGCTGCTAACTGAAAGGTTGGAGGTTTGAGTCCACCCAGGGGCACCTCAGAAGAAAGGTCTACTTCCAAAAAATAAGCCATTGAAAACCCTATGGAGCACAGTTCTACTCTGACACACATGAGGTCGCCGTGAGTCTGAGTCCACTTAAAGGCAACTGATTATAATGAAAACATGATTTAAATAACAATATTCTAAAATTCCACAAGATGGAGACATTACTCCACGAAGGCAACATTTTTCTTCGTTAATGTCTATGCATTCATTCACTTAACTGTTCATTGACCATCTATTTTATGCGAAAACAAAAAAACCAAACCCACTGCCACGGAGTCGATTCCAGCTCACAGTGACCCTACAGGACAGAGTAGAACTGCCCCCTAGGGTTTCCAAGGAGCACCTGATGGATTCAAACTGCTGACCTTTTGGTTAGCAGCTGTAGCTCTTAACCACTATGTCATGAGGGTTTCCATTTTCTGCAAGGCACTGGGTATATGGCAGTGAAGAAAACCGAAATGTTCCTGCCCTCAAAGAGCAGGTTTAGAGAAGGAGATAGACGTTCCACAAATATATAAATAAACTAATAATTTTAAACTGAAAAATGTTCCGGCAGAAATAAGCACGTACATGCTATCAGAGAAATAAAGGAGGATCCTAACTTAAGTTGTAGAGATTGGAAGATTGGATTCTTAGACTGGAAGAGCTTTTTGAGATGCAGGATAGTACAGTGGTTAGAGTACAGCTCTAAAGCCAGTCAGCCTAAGTTTGAAGACGTTGTGATCTTGGGCAACTCCTCATAACAGCCTATTTAATTATTATGAGGGCAAAATAAGTCAATGTGTGTCAAGTGCTTAGACTAGTTCCTGGCACACAATAAGTATTATTCGGAGAAAGTGATATTTAAATGTTCTAATATTGCTCCCCAGTATAAATTCAGCATTCTGGTGAGAAAAGAACAAAGCAATCTCTCACAAAGTTATTCTATTTTTAACAGATGAACTATTCGCAGATGAGGAAACTAATTAGGAAGAATCGAAAAGAAATGGTTTATGTTAGCCTAGAGAATATTTGTAAATTTATAGTTTGTTTCAAACAATCAACATCCATTTCTAAACTTTTCAATGTTAGAAAACTGAGAAGAGAATGGTCCTTCTCATAATTATTGAAGAATATTTTTATGCTAACAGTTGTCATAACAATTAATAGTAAATCACCAGAAGCATTTCCATTTGTCTTTTCATTGTGTCTGGGCTTACGTTTCTTGGAAATTTACATTTGGTAATTCTTCAAGGTGTGAGTTAAAACCCTTCATAGAAAACTTGCATATGCTCTGCCAGTTACGTGGTAGACATACCAATTCTGGACTGCTTTAAACTTAATCACTGGGTTAGTATTTTTTAGGATAGGGACATAGTAGAATTACATCAGACACCCAGAACCAAGTGTATATAAGCCTGCATCCTCACTGTCTCAGTCTGCAGGATGGATATTTCTCTGCTTTACTTACTAAGAGTGCTGCCTGTCTGGGATTTTGCTTCATGCAGGAGGTCTTAGATCTGATCTTTTACCCTACTAGGACCTCAGTCTTCTTTCCCCCAGAGCCCATGATTCATTAAAACCCTACAGATCACCAGGGGTCAGCAGTCATGTCTATGGAAAATGTTGGTTCCAGTGCTCCACTTAATGCTCTGGCTTGTGGTGGTTGATGTTTCTGTCCTAACAGTAGTTCCCTGCTTTTACCAGCTTAGTCATGAATTTTAAAAGCCATGTTTTTTTAATATAACATACAACATTTTAAGGTGTGCTGTACTAGGCGTGGTTTCTTTTTCAGCATAACATGGCTGAAAAAGAAACAAAAGAAATGCAGGTAAGAACAACTGCTGCATAC